TGAGAGGTAATGAGGTGTAAATGAGGTCATGAGGATCTCTCTGCCATGAGAGGGCACAGTGAGAAGTCTGCACACTAAGAAGAGGCCTCTCACCAGGAATCAAATCTGCCAGCACCTTCATCTTGGACTTCCCAGCCTCCGAAACTGAGAGAAATGTCTGTTGTTTAAGCCATCCACTCTATGGTATTTCGTTATGGCAGCCTGAGCAGTGTAAACATTCTTTCCTTAACCTCCATGACCCCTCAAGGAATGAAGGTCAGACAGGCTATTCCAGATGCTGTGATCCTGAATAGCCACGTGTCCCTTCACTCTGATTCCTAAAGAAATATTATACCTATCAGGTGTCAATCACTTGCCAGGCACTTGAAACACTGAAATCTAGAGCAGAATCCCTGCCTTATGGAGCTGGCATTGGAAAGGGGAAAAAAGCATAAAATAATCACCATATAGTTAAAACAGGGATGTGATAGCAATAGAACATTTAAAAGGGGGACCTGACTTAGTCCTGCCAGTGTGGGCTGTATTCTCTAAAGTGGCAGTTGATCTCACTCTCAAGTCCTCAGCGGAATTAATGAGTGAATCGGTGTACAGGGCCGAGGCCAGGCGGCTCAAGGAGGATGGAAGTCCTTGTGCTGAGGGCAGTGACTGGGCAGGCAGTTTTAGCTGGAGATGAGAGTAAAGGTGGCAGGGCCTGGATCATTTCATCTAAAAAGATCAGTCAGCAACATGAAGAATGGATTAAAGAGATGAGAATTTAGATAAATACTATTCTCAATTTCTGCTTCAAAATCAGATATGTTCATCTGGGAAAAACAAGTTCTCTATGGAAACTTCAGGGGCTAAATGGATTAAGTTGGGAATCAGCCTGCTGGGAGCCTGGGAGTGCTCTGCAGCTGTGTGAGCTCCTCTAGGCCCCTTCCCGGTCCTCCCTCGAGAAATATCCTCTACATCAGCGGTTCTCAACCTGTGGGTCACGACCCCTTTGGCAGTCAAACGACCCTTTCACAGGGGTCGCCTAAGACCATCCTGCATATCAGATATTTACATTACGATTCATAACAGTAGCAACATTACAGTTATGAAGTAGCATCAAAAATAATTTTATGGTTGGGTCACAACATGAGGAACTGTTTTTAAAGGGCCAGAAGGTTGAGAACCACTGCTCTACATGCTCCCCTCACTTTGTGGTCTATAATGGCTGTCGCAGGTGGGTTAATTAAAATGACACTTCATCAGATGGCATGTAAAACACTACTTTTATCAATTCTAAAGTTCAGGATATTCACTTTTGTAATGAATTTCTACCCTAAACTGGAGTTTCAAAAATACTTTACAGCAACTGCTCCCTTACCTAGTTGTCCTCATCAAGCTACACCGACCTCTAGACACAGGGCACCTTACAATTTAACATGTAAACCAACAGTGTGCTAATATGGCTTCACTCTAAAACAAAGGAGCAGCTATGAAGTTTCAAGCAGATAGAAAAATCCTGAAACGCACGAACATCTAGACCCCTAGCCTGGGGTAAGCATGACCCAAAGGGATATGATTACAATAGAAATTACTGGCAAACTGAATTCACCAAGACAGTTTTACACTCAGTAGAAAAAAAATTTCACTTGAGAAAAGCTTTAAAGATCAAAATACTTTGCAGTTTAGCTCTCTGGAAAATTAAGTTATTTGGAACTCCTCTTGTTCCAAGATGGAGTCCCCATAGGAAGCTGCTAACAATCAAAATAGTGTGGCTAAACGTATTATCAACACAAATACTAATAGATCAATTTACCACACACACACAAAAAAAGAAAATGTGCTAGTAACTAACCCAACCACAAAAGACCAAATGGGACTTAAAAAAGAAAACTTTATTCCAAAAAGAATTACCAAAAGAAGCATGTTAACTCTGAAACATTTAACAGGTTTCATTTAAACTCAGTCACAAAATTCAAACAAAAACAGCTTTGTGTGCTTAACCACTTTTAATGAAACTTTAAAAACGGAAACATGTACTGTAGAGATTGCCCCATAATTTGGGAGCCATTTAGGCAAATATTTAATATGAAGGGGAAAAACATCAGCATTAAAACAGAAGTCTCAAATGTAAGAATAGGTGTTCAAGTCTTTGACATGCATTTATATGCATGAGAAAACAAAGAATTAATTTAGAAGAAATCAAGTCTTTCTTCAAATATGATCTCCTATCTCGCCTTCATTTTGACCGCATACCCCTCATGCTCCATACTTCATCTACACTGAACCAGTGTTGGTCAACATGATTGGCTTACTGGGAAGCCCTCCAGATCCCATTTCACAAATCCTGTCTACCACCCCATTATTTGCTCACATGTTTGCACAGCCTTCTGAGTATTACCACTGTAATTGAGCTAGGGAATTTCAGGTCTCCAAAGAATGATTATATATACACAATTCTGTTTTACCGCACAGTTCACAATATATAGGTGATTATATAACTATAAGATGAATATTGACTATTGAGACAAACAACATCAACTTTGTCTCCAACACAAATGAAACAGATACACAAATTTCCCACCATATAGAGGTTGTGTTTTTAGTCTGTGGTGCAGTCCTGAGGGCTCATACCACTTTACGTATGTTAAATATGGAATCCATAACATCAGACATGAATATAGGAGGCAAAACCAGAAGTGCCCCGTGCTCATGAGCAGTCTGTGTCACATATGTAACAGAAAGGGCCACTTTTAAAGCTTTTCAAATAGTTAATCATATTTGCCTTTTCAGAATTACTGTACTAATTCACACTGAAGGTATAAACAATAGGTAGAATCTTACTTGTAACATAAATTTGACTTATTTTCAAGTTCAGACAAAGCTGTTGGTTACAAGTTCTGTTAAACTTTCTGTCAAATTTAAGAAGTCTACAGGACAACAAAGAACCATCCCTGGTAATGTATTTGCAGTTTGGTCTTCAAAAGCTGTAAAAGGTGACAAAGAAATCCAAAAATGTGAGTTAAAACCATTAAAAATATTTATTGTTTGTAAATACCACATATTTGAGACAGCAGAAACCAAAGCGTCCTCCTTTATATTCTCACTTCACTTGTATTTTACAAAGTGCTTTCGAACTTAAGATTTCTACCACCTGTGTGGAGTGTATAGACAAAAGCAAGCCCTGTGGGACCAAAGGCCCATGGAGTCCACTTCCAGGGCCAGAGCATGACCCCAGGCTAACACACCTGCCACATGCTGAGCACCTAGACAGGCAGTACTCAGGGGCTCACACACAAATGAGGGGTCATGCACCACAGTACCAATGTCATTCATTTCTGAAAGAACTGCTTCCAATCCTCACCCTTGACTCTATTTGATAGGCCAAAGGACGCTACTCACATTTATTTGGTGAGTTTTCTGAAATCCTGACATCTGCACCTTGGTTGCTCAAGTAAACTGCCATTTTTAGCACAACACTGTCAAACAGAGCTGTTATAAATCTCCTGAGCTTGATTATTGCCTAACAAATGCTTGATTATGCTTCCTAATCCTTTTGGTTGGAAGAAGGATGTTCATTTTATTTGACCAGCCATACTGCATGTAGAGGTAAACATCTGTTTTGGACTATCTGCCCAGAAACTGAGTAAACTACCAATTGAGACCCTGATTTTATTTTGGTCATTACGTGCACATTTTCATATGCAATTACCCAGCCTGATGAAAAACTGGTAGTAGGAATCCTAACTACTATGCCATGTCAGATGCTGGAAAGCAATCTTAACTACATATTTACAGATGTAGGTTTTAAAAAATAAACCACTTTTCTAGGATGTTTCATGATTACTAATCATTCAACTGTTGTATGAATCATTTTGCCTGATTTATCGGGAAAATACATCTTAAAAGCTGATTCCTTTGACAAATATGTTTTTGTTAGGTAAGGGATGACTAATCTATCCAGCTATTACTAGTCTAGAAATTTAAAATTAACCCTTCAAATGTCTTTATTTAGATCTGATCAATTTATAAATGTAAATCTAATCATGTATTTCTAACAACCCCCCCGCCCCCCCCCCCCCATACACACACACACACACACACACACAAAACAATGAGAAACCAGAAATAAAAACCTGGGATTCTATTAAATAGACTTTCAAAATAAAGTTTTATGGAAGTGTTTTCTAAAAGGAGTTTCAAGAGAACAGAGTACTTGAATAAGACAAACTAGTACGTAAAGGGGGAAAAAAATCCCAAAGCTATTTGCTAAGTTGGCAACAACAATTCAAAGAAATTGAGCTAAAGAGAGTTTGATCTTTACATAATTAATATGAAACTTAATAAGATGAAATGCCTATGACAAAATTTAAGTCTCCCCACCTTTTGGCAGTGAAATTAACATGATATTTTGGACAGGTTTAAGGTCACATTCAGAATTAAACAGAAAACTTTCAAATCCAGAAAGCAAATGGGAGCTTTCATTAGCTGCTGGAGTCTACCATGCCTAAATAGAAACAGCGTGGATAATGACTATCCCAACAGGTGCTGTTTCAAAACTAATACAAGCAATTTATCATGAAAAGCTTACACCTATTAAGCTTTCTTCTCTGTCCTGCTCCTTGTGTATATGCTTCAGTTTAGCAAAGACTACACTTTGCAACTCCTCCTAAGAGGAGAGAAGCAAGAAATGGAGTAATAAAAGTAAGCCTGAGAATTCGAGGGGCCCTAAGAGCCTTTTCTCTGGCTGGTCATGGCCACTTACGTTTTAATAAGGGTTTAAAGATTTGGGGGGAAAGACTATCTTGGCTATTAGTTTCCTCAGCAAAAGCCATCCATAGACAGACAGCTATTAACCAAGCAATTAACCCAAAGTTCTCAGGTAATAATTAGAACAAAACAAAACAGCCCGGCCGTTGTGGTTTAGTGGTGAAGCATCGATACCCAGTCAGAGCCCAAGCCCAGGTTGCGGGCTCCATCCCCAGTAGTGGATATTTGGGAGGCAGCCAACCAATGACTCTTACTCATCACTGATGTTTCTCTCTCCCTTCCTCTCTCTGAAATCAATAAAAAAAAATTTAAAAAAACACACCCCAAAACCCTTAAATTCTTCTATTGAAACCTTTTATTCTGCATTTGTTGGTGCTTAAGGAAAACAGCTTTGCCATAATTCATTGTGCCCTGAACTTACGACACCAACTTATATTGGCCAATTAGGAACGAGGCCAAACTACATTCTTCTTTAAAGGTCTAGTCAGTTGGTAAATGGCACTTAATTATTTCTTTCATGTAATCTTTAACAGGAATTCATAAGTTGCATTGATTATGCCCCAAGAGATGAGGGACCGGTGGTAATTTAGATGGGCACCTCTGAAAAGATTTGTCAGTTTCCTGTCTCGTTCTAACCAGATTATTTTGAAAACCTTGGGAAAAGACTGAAATTCCCCACCAATCTGAGACTGCATGCGAGTTTTTACAACATTAATTGGAAAAAACAAGATTCCCAACATGGCACCCAGTAGACCTCCACAGATAAAATCATTGACCAAATGAGCACTGTACGTTGTTGCAGTAGGCAGGTGCTCCTTAATGGGACCCCGGAGGCCAAAAAACAGGACATTGCTGAACCCATTACGGAAAAGAACAGGTATGAGGCCTCGATAATACTCTCCAATTCCATGGCATTTCAGTGCCTTGAAAGCCTGGTAAGTGTTTGTAAATTTATCATGATGCTTGTGGTCTTGAAGCAGTGTCTGAACTCTTTCCAATGGAGTGAAAATTGCTTCTGTTGTCCCTGCAAGTATTGCTGCCATGCTACGGGTTGCAAAATCTGGGGTACTGATATGCTTACGGAGAAGGCAAGATAAATCCTCATACAGACCAAACATAAGTGCCAGTGTAGTTGTCTTCTGCACTAATGGAGGAAGAATTCCGCGATACAAGTTTCGAAATCCATCCCTCCTCAACTGAAGCACTGCATCCCTGGTTTTGATTCCATACAGCTGTTGCCGAAAGAGGACCTTCTGAATGGGAAATGTGATCGCTACGTTGCTGAAAGCTGCACAGCAGCCACACAAATAATGTTTCCTTTCACCAACATCTGTAATATGAGGTGATATATCTTGTTTTGAAGATGTTATGATTGGCGACCTCTTTTTATGAGCTTCTGAATCCATCATGTGGCTTAAGATCTGTCGTGTTCATGAAGGATTTTTTTTAACCTACAAATAATAAAATGACAATAAACCTTTAAAAACAGTGTTAAACACATGGATTTTTTCCCCAAAACCTTCCTCCAATTTCTGGACACTTTTCCTTATAGATTAGCAGTTCTCCAAGTTTTTCCAAGGACTCCTGGAGGTCCCAGAGACCCTTTCTGTGGTCCAGGAGGTCCTCCCTGTTCCAACTATATATGACGTGATGCTGGATTTTCTGCATATACTTCAACCAAAACAACTTACTAGTACAACAGACTGAATGCAGAAGCAGATATGAGACACGACCTAGCTTTTAAGCCAGACATTAAAAGAAACTTACAAAACTGTAAATCACACTCTTCTCAATATTTTTGAACAAGTTATTTTTCATGAAAATGTTGTTTATGTTAACATATAATGATTTTTATCATCGCTATTTTAAAGTAAATTAATATTTTTAAATTGTTTTAATTTCTAAGACCACAAATATTAATCCACATAAATAAAGGCTCTTTGGCATCCAGAATAACTTTTTGAAAGTATTTTTTTGATTTTAGAGAGAGAGGAAGGGAGAGGGAGTGAATGCTTTTATTGATCAATAAAAAAAATGTTACAGGAAAAAAAACCCCAACAATACTTTATTTAGGGGGGTTCCATTTTCACTCAATAAATTTTATGTATTTCTCATATGCTTCTTCACTTAATGACATAGTAAAACCCTATTTTTATCAATATACATATAAAAAGCTAAAATTAGTTTATATTTTCTAATTTCAGAATAACACTGTATTTTCCTTTCTTACATTTTTCAATTAAATTGATCTCCATCTACTCAACTGTTTTAAAAGTTAGTGACAATAATGAGGTCTAATTAAGACTACAAAAGGCCTACAGTGTCAGACCGATGAGACAAAGTTCCAAATTGACAAAAGGCAAATAGCAGTACCTCTCTGAAGCTCGTTTCCACACTTAGAACCAAACCAATGCCATTGACCCTGCAGGATTAGATTAGAGTGAAACTCAGCAGACAGTACCATTATGTCGGGTCCTAATGCCAGGCCAGTTCAATTCCTGGTCAGGGCACATGCCGGGGTTACAGGTTTGATCCCCAGTAGGAGGCGTGCAGGAGGCAGCCGATGATATTCCTCTCTCATCAATGTTTCTAGCCCTTTCCCTTCCTCTCTCTTTCTAAAAATCAATAGAAAACACATTGTAAAAAAATGGATTCCATTTTTTTAGTACTAATGATCAACAGAGAATAGGGCCTCTTAGTTTTCAAACATGAGAAGGGAATATATATTTGTATATTATTCCTGTTTCACTAAAGTTCAACCATCTTCACCCCTTCCCACAAACACTAAATCAGGAATCTACCTTGAACTCTGGTCAAATACTTTTAAGAAGCAACTGGGATGATCATGTGGATACTGGAGGCAGAACCCATGTAACTTTTAAGAGTTACAGCGAATTTAAGAGTTACACCACATCGCTACTGTGTGATCTTCAGCAAGTCACCCAACATTTCTATGGCTGTTTCCTCATTTATAAAATCAGCATGTTACCTACCTCGTTGGTGATTAATTAACTGAGTTAATGCATAGAAAGCACCCATGAGAGGAGTCTAGAACACAACAGGTGCTCAACAAGGATAAGCTACTATTAGCATGCTTTTGGTAATTACTCTTCCTTGTAATATGGGCATAAATCCTATTTGGCCATGGTGAAATATTCTTTTAATGTATTGCTAAATACCATGCTCTAATATTTTATTTTAAAACTTCACATCACTATTCACAACATAGACAAGTTTCCAATTTATTACTATCATGTCAAGTTCAGGTGTCAATATTTCATTGGCTTTGTAAAAAGAATCTTTTTTCCTTCCTTCTGATGGTGAACAATTTAAATCTTATCAAAATTATCTTTTCCTTCAAATTTAAAAATATTCACCTTTAGAAGGGGAATATAGTCAATAATATTGTGATAATTTTGCATGGTGACGTGATACCAGACTTAGTGAGACAGTCACACTTGAATATTATACACTTGAAACTAATAATAACATTGTATACCAACTGTATTTAAATAAAAACAAAACAAATTTACCTGTGACACCATCTGGGCCTGGTGTTTTGAGGAATAGTAGCTTTTTGGTAACGTTTTCAATATTTCCCATTGTTAATGGATGTTAGGTTCTCTTTTCTGGAGTCATTTTGATAACTGGATTTCCTTTAAAAAAAAATCCTGGTTTATTTATAGTCTCATAAAGCACTTTCGATCTAAAAAAAATACTTCTAATCTTGTGTACTTATATTCCCTTTTTTCTTGAGCAAGGTAGCCTGTTATTTTTTTTTAAAATATATTTCTTTATTGATTTCAGAGAGGAAGGAAGAGGGAGAGAGAGATAGAAACATCAATGATATGAGAGAATCATCGATTGGCTGCCTCCTGCATGCCCCCTACTGGGGATCAAGCACACAACCCAGACATGTGCCCTTGGCCGGAATCAAACCTGGGACCCTTCAGTCTGCAGGCCGACGCTCTATCCACTGAGCCAAACCAGCTAGGGCAGCCTGTTATTTTTTAAAAAATATTTTAAAATTGATTTTTAGAGAGAGGGAGGGGGAGAGAGAAACATTGATGTGAGAGTGAACACTGATCAGCTGCCACCTGCAGCTGCCTCCTGCCAGGGTTAGGGGATTGAGCCCCCAATCCGGAATGTGCCCTGACCAGGAATTGATCCTGACCAACTGAGCAACACCAGCCAGGGCTAGCAGGCTAGCCAGTTTATCTAGTTTACATTCTTCTCATCTTGACAAAGAAACCAGCATTTGAATTTTCCAATTTTACTTTTTTAATTTTTAAATTTGTTTTTCCTCTTTATTATCACTTTTCTCTTGGTTTGTCTACATTTATTTTATTCTAATTTTTTTAGTTAGATGCTTATTTTTATTTGCTTCATAATTTTAATGCTATGCATTTTCCTTTCAATAAAACTTTTATTACTTTTTAAGATATTCTGTGGAGAATTGTGGTTTGATGGTTGCCTCACAATCTGTACCATCTCCATGGTGGCTTTGATTTGGGATGACTGTCTATGCACTCTTTTTCAGAGTCCAAGCCTGTTTTGGCTTTGTGCGTCATATCATATTCTTTATGTTCAGGAGAAGAGCATCTTTCTCATGGCCCACAGGAAAGATCCTACAGGAATGGAACCTGATATTGGGCAACTGTCCTCCAGTCTCAAAGGTTCAGTGACAAATACATCCTCAAGCTGACCTTCATCAATGGAAAAAGCAAAAGTGGGGAGCCAGGTTCGCCAAGTTTTTTGCACACAGTGGGACACCAGTCATGGCATAAGAGCATAAAGCACCCAGGCTCTATGACATTCTCACCACAAAACAAACAAACAAAACCAGAATAGCCAATTCTAAAAGCAACCATCTTTCTACTGGCTCATGCTGAATTACAGGGTGAGGGAGAAAGAAACAGAGAACTTTATATGGATAGAGTAAGAAATGTTAAAAGTGTCCATTTTGGCCTGAAATTTTAGTCCATTCTGGATAAAAAGAATTTTCTATAACAAATATGAAATGTTGACATTCTGATACCCTCCTTGATCTGCTGATTGTGTTGCTTTGATTTGCTTTCTTGGAAAAGCATTTTTGCTAAAATCTATAGACTTCCACTTTCATATCCAGCAGTACTTTATATAGAATAGCATTGTGCCATGCAGTATTTGAAGACAGCTTTTAAAAATTATTAATCTGTTGCTGACTTTGTTAATTTCTGTTTCAACAGCCATTTCCCTTAATTCAGGATACAACTTGTTATGTATGAGTTTCCCTTCACACACTATTTTGTGGGTATGTATATGTCTTAACAAGAGAATTGGAAAAAAATAAAACCAAAACCACAGCCTTTTAATTTGTTTTTAAACAGACCTTCTGCCTGTTACATTTTGTATTCTTAACCAATTAAAGAAGCCGATAACATTTTGGGTTTTAAAAAAAATTATAGATGCTCGAGAAGAAGTTTGCCGAGTTTAGGGTTTGATAATTATTGATTACTTAATCTTCAATATCCTTACTTCTTACTGTTTCAGCTAACTGACATGAGTTTAAAAATAAACTCTTATTAGTACTATACTAAAACTTAGCAAAGAAATGCTTCACATCTATGTAATGCTTTTTCTTCAGTTTCAGAACTAAACATTATAATCAACAAAAATATTCTAAATATTCAAAAATATAATAAAACCCCAATATGCAAATTGACCGAACAGCAGAACTGGTTGTTATGATGCGCACTGACCACCAGGGGGCAGATGCTCAACACAGGTGATGCCCCCAGGTGGTCAGCCAGGGCTCATGGGTGGCAAGCATAGTGGCGGGAGCCTCCCCACCTCCGCTACAGGTGGGCGGTAAGGAGAGCAAGGGGTCCCGGACTGTGAGAGCCCCAGATTGCGAGAGGGATGTCTGGCTGCCTGCTTAGGCCCAGGGATCGGGCCTATGCCAGTAGGTGGACAACCCCCGAGGGGTCCCGGACTGCGAGAGGTCGCAGGCCAGGCTGAGGGATCGAGTCCCCCACTGGGTCTCTACTGTACATATAATTACACAATACATTGTGACAATTTATGAATGAAAACAAGTTCACTTGTACATACTGAACACAACATATTTTAAATTCTAAAGTTGCTACCTACAAGCTATTTAACAGTATATGTTCCTTGATAATACAGACCAAGTTATTTGTACACCTGAACAGTAATTTGTCCATGTTCATTTTTAATTCTTACTGAAATGGTACTAGCATTACTTTCTAAAATTTCACAAATTAAAGTTATTTCATCCAGTTTGTAATGACTCTCAGTAATAACAGGACTGCTATTAAGCAGAAAACAGTGGCTAACAGAAGTTAGCATGTCATTTATTAACCACTGTACTGAACTATTTTTTTAAATTTTTAAAATATTTTTATTGATTTTTTACAGAGAGGAAGGGAGAGGGATAGAGAGTTAGAAACATCTTTGAGAGGGAAACATCGATCAGCTGCCTCCTGCACACCCCCTACTGGGGATGTGCCCGCAACCAAGGTACATGCCCTTGACCGGAATCGAACCTGGGACCCTTCCATCCGCGGGCCAACACTCGATCCACTGAGCCAAACCGGTTAGGGCTGTACCGAACTATTTTGAGAAATTTTAAGAACATTATTCTGAGTCTCAGACTTCAAAAAAATATCTACAGGCCCAAACACAGGAAAAAGAAATGTAATGAAACCCAGACTTCATAGATTGAAAGCTTTCCCTTTAGTTTCATCCTGCACAACAGGATGGTGTGAACAGGCTCTTAACTTGGCAACGGAAGGAAGGGCAGTGTGCACGGTATTCTGGGGAAATGAAGTTTAGAATTTTTATGTTTATCTATACCACGAACATGGTTAAATTTCTTTGCTAAACTGATTTTCAGTTCTTTAATTGCAAAATTTATTTATCATAGTTGCACACTCCCTAAAACACTCCAACTATCTCAACATTAGGAAGTTAATGAAGTTGACTTTCGAGCAACCGCAAGTGTCAAACTTTTGTTGCATAAGAAAACAGTGAAAGTCTAAATACTCGCTTAAATTTACAGCCCACTTAGATAAACAAGACCCAGATGCGATCCCAGCACAAAGGTCTTTGTGCAAAACCGTGGAGAAGGCGATTGTAATTCTCAAAGGATGTGAACTCCGGCCCGCAGACCTGACTCAGCATTCAGAGCAAGACCAGCCTGGTTCTAGTCCTGCTCTTGCCACTACACATACAAGCCATGTCTATAACTTAAAAAACCCACTTCTCCGGGCTTACCTTCATCTACCAAAGGAGAGACCAGACAAGTCCGTTTCTCTTAGAGATAAGAACTTGTGATTTTTCTCGGAGATGCACTAGGGTGAGTGACTCCAAAGTGCCGAACCTGTGCTCCGGAACCACTCGGGAACCGGGCCGGTCCTAGCCCCTTTTAATTTCATGGAATCCTCGCAAAGCAAGGGCAGAGGCGGCTACACATTCAGCCAGGGCTTCACCGCTTACAGGTAGAGAGACAGGTGTTAACTCAGACCAGCTGCGCACGGCTGGCTGCAAGGGGCAAAACAAAAACCATGCCCGAAGGGTAACCATAGCTGAGGCACTGGCACGCTCCATCCAGCTAAGCTCAACGCCGAATAATCAGCAGATTTACAATGAGCAGCGCCATCCACCTTCTCCCCCGCCCCCCAAACCTTGTTTGTACACTGAGTTTCGCACCGCACGAAGCAACATGGTGTCGCAGAATAAGCCCTGTCTGTCCGTGCGACTGACTTACCTCTTTGCAGCGTCCATTCGGCCAACCTGTGGGAAGGGGGAGGGCGGGGGGTGGCAGGGATGCCCCTTCCGTCACCGACGTTCCAGAGTCCGGGGTCCCGGAGCCCCAGATTCCGGGGCGGGGGACCGCCGCC